ATTTGCCATGAAGTGATGGGACCAGATGCCATGAACTTTATTTTCTGAATGTTGAGCGTTAAGCCAACTTTTTCNCTGCTCATGGGGTTCTCAAGGCAAGAATACTGAAGTGGTTTGCCGTTCCCTTCTCCAGTGGACCACATTTTGTCAGAACTCTCCACCATGACCGTCCATCTTGGGTGGCCCTACACCGCATGGCTCATAGTTTCATAGAGTTAGACAAGGCTGTGGTCCATGTGATTAGATTGGTTAGTTTTCTGTGATGGTGGTTTTCATTCTGTCTGCCCTCTAATGGAGAAGGGTAAGAGGCTTATGGAAGCTTCCCGATGGGATAGACTGACTGAGGTGGAAACTGGTTCTTGTTCTGATGAGCAGGGCCATGCTCAGTATATCTTTAATCTAATTTTCTGTTGATGGGTGGAGCTGTGTTCCCTCCCTGCTATTTACCTGGGGCCAAACTATGGTGAAGGTAATGAAGATGATGGTGATCTCTCTCAAAAGATGCCAGGCATGAACCTCTACAGTCCTGCAGCAGGCCACCACCAATCCACGCCTTCCCCAGAGACTCCCGGACCCCCGCAGGCAAGTCTCCATAAAATTCTCTTAAAACTGCTTTTGCTGCATTCTGTAAGTTTTACCATATTTCCATTTTCATCTTTTCAAGATATTGTTTTTATTTCCCTATAATTTCTTCTTGACTCATTGGTTGTTCAAGAAATGTGTTGCTTAGTTGTCACACACTTGTGAAATTTCTAGCTTTCCTCCTATAATGATTTCCAGTTTCATATCATTGTTGTTGGAGAACATATTTGATATGATTTTAATCTTAAATTTGCCAAGACTTGTTTTGTGATCTATCAGTGATGTTCCCTAGAGAATGTTCGGTGTGCAATGTGTTGTTCTGCTGCTGTGGGGTGGAATGTTCTGTATATATCTCTGGTTTATTTGGCCTAAATTATTGCTTAACGCCAACATTTCCTTATTGATTTTATATCTGGATGATATATACATTGTTGAAAGAGTTATTGATGTCTCATGCAGTTATTGTATGGTTGTCTATTTCTTCCTTCAGATTTGTTAGTACTTGCCTAATATACTTAGGTGGTCTGATGTTGGGTGCAAATATATTTACAATGATCATATCCTCTTGATGAGTTTACCCCTTTATTATTATTTTCATTATATAATGACCTTCTTTGTCTCTTATTACAGCTTGTGAGTTAAGATTTATTTTGTCTGATGTAAGTGTAGCTATCTCTTCTCTCTTGGTTTCCATTTGCATAGAGAATCCTTCTCCACCCCTTCACTTGCTCCCTCTTGTGGCAGAATTCTTATGTTTCATACCTTTCCTTGACCCAGCAATGTAGAAAGTGTTCTTTTGGTTTCCCAAGGGCAGTGCTAAAGTTTAAGTTTGTAATCTTTTCCTGGTCTGCAGATTTATGTCAGTTTTGTGTTGTGCTCACTAGCTATTTGCCAAGCAAGCTCTTGATGCCATCAGGATTTCATCAGAGAGCTAACCACAGGGCAGCAGTGTGTGCAGGTGGGACCTATGGAGCTTTGTGGGTACCATGGATCAGTTGGGGGGTATCCATGGGAAAGGTGCCCCAGTGGCTCATGGGAGGGCTTCTTGCTGGAGTCCACGATGCCTTTAGTAGGATCCTCATCCCTTTAATGCCCTCCCAGGATCCCGTCTGCCACTCTCTCAGCCCCTTCATACCTTCTGGTCCTAGAGATCATGACCCAGGACTCTGGATTGGTTGAGAGAGAAATAGACCTCTTTGGCAGAGTCTGCACTTCTGTGGAAGCCAGGTTCTCACTCAGACACACTCTCTCTTCCCCGTTGGTAGGAAAGGGAAGGTCTCTCTTGGCACTGAGCTGTGCTGTCTTGGGGAAGGTGTGACATGGGTAAAGTCAAGGTGTTCCTTTTACCCTCTCCAGGGTATCCGAATTCATATATGTATGTGCATATATGTTTTGCTGGAACTTCTCTCCCAGACATCTGGACTTGCACAAAGACACTCAACCAAGGGTGATTACCTAAGATATAGTCTCCAGGGCCTCCTGAACCATAGCTGAGTCAGTCTGAGGGCTACTGCAGAGTCCACATCTTGGAACCAAAGTCTCCATGCCTGTTACCTGGGTATATAGGTAGTGCAAGGGTGGGTGGTACTTCTTCCAAGTCCTTTGGCATATGGTGCTGGATCCCACAGCTCCCACAAAGGTATTTTTGTTAATGGATTTATGCCGAATTGTTGTTGTTGAAGGGGGGATACAAGTGAGGGACATTTCAGGCATATTTCTCAGGATGCTTTTGAAGATCAAATGAGAGAATACCTATAAAAATTGTTTGAAACTGGTAAAGTAGCATTCACTTTCTCCTATTCAATCATCCATCCATTCATCCACCCAATCACCATCAATTCACCTTGATCAACCTATTCTTTCATTTGTCAAATACTTATTAAATATCTACAATATGACAATCTCTGTACTATGGCATGGGCTCAATGCAAGGAATTCTTGGTTCTCTGATGAATATTCCTAAAAACCATTTTCTGAATCAGTGCCAGTAAATTAGAATCAGCACTCTCTCAGAGAGATTTAACCAGTATATATACACTAATTGGTCACTTAAGGTAAATGTTTTATTTTAATGTTCCAATTTAATGTTTGTTTCAGCTTCTTTATCAAAGGTAGTGAAATTTTAAAATCTTTTCAGAGGAATTTTTCTTTCCACATAGCAATACAAATAAGCTCAAATAATCTGCTTTATGAGATTTATCACAAGTAGCAACTTTTGTGCTCTATTTGGCCAGAGTTGTAGGTTTGTTATCACAGCATTTTCTCAATGTTATATATCTTTTAGTGGCTATCTTCCAACATATCCTTGGGTTCACATTATAGTACAGCATTTCTTAATTTATGAGCAGACTGAGAATTAATTATTTACAGTTTATTTAAACAACTGCATTGTAGACCTATAATATGAGATATAGTAGCCAAGAGATCAAATCCCACAACAACTTTTGTTGTTTTACTAATTACAAAATATCATCACCACCCAACACCAACAAATCCCTTCTGTATATATCATAAAATCCTATGAAATTTTACTGTAGTTCAGTCTATCTCAGATCTCTACACAAGCAGATCCTTGCAGGAACTTTTAAGCCAGCATGGTGGGTAGTGGATAAGAGTGTGGCTCTGGAGTAAGATAGATTGGGTTTTTAATCATGGCTCTACAGATGCGCAGTCCCTGAGTCGGGATGATCCCCTGGAGGGAGGCATGGCAACCCACTCCAGGATTCTTGCCTGGAGAATCCCATGGGCAGAGGAGCCTGGTGGGCTACAGTCCATGGGGTCACAAAGAGTCAGATACAACTGAGAAACTAAGATATTCACTATAGATACTAACTGTGTGACCTTAGACAAGTTACTTAATTTCTTTAAGTGTCAGCATCTCCATCTCTAGGATGTGAATAATAATTCCTATTTATGTGGCAGCAAATGAAAAAACCTGGTCACTCTGGGCTATTCAGAACACTCTCATTTTAATTTGTGAGCCCCCGATCTTTTAATTTAAAAACATCTATGTAGGACTTCCCTAGTGGTCCAGTGGTTCAGAATCCACCTGCCGATGCAGGGGACACAGGTTTGATCCTTGGTGTGGGAAGATTAACGTGCTGTGGAGCAGCTAAGGCCGTGCGCCACAACTACGAAAGCCCATGAGCCCCAGAGTCCACGCTCCTCAACGAGAGAGGCCTGCGCATGGCACCTAGAGAGTAGCCCCTGCTTGCCACAACTAGAGAAGCCTGCTGGCAGCGATGAAGACATAGTGCAGTTAAAAACAAAACAAAACAACTATATTTAAATTAAAACTCTCCTCCTCCTCTTCCCAATTCAGGTTGGATTGGTAGTTCTGTGGGTCTAGAAGGTACCTGGCATCACCTGCTCCCTTTCATCTTCCTCTTTCCTCCTCCTACTTACCTCTGTAAGACTGGGTCAGGGACATGCATGAGGGACACAGATGTGACATCTTCCTTTCTTCTGACCATACTCACTGCTCTGGCTCATTGCTTGAAGGTCCAGTGGAAGCAGTAGAGATTTCCTCTAAGCCTTGCTGATGAGGCTCCATCCTGTGGGTTCCATTGGCATTGGTAGTCCTTTGTAAGTTTCACGGCTATCTGCCAGTCACGTCCTGCTACTCAGGGTCTATAGCCACTTGTGGAATCTCTCTTTTATGTGCCTTAGGATAAAGGAACCCAAGGAGAGACCATATGTCCCTCTCAACCTGGCTATGCACCTGTGCCCTGCTCTGTGATGCTCTTTCTCTTGCACTGGAGGTCAACAAGCCTGATGGCCTTAGGCTGCTTAGACATCTGTTGGCTGAAAAAAAAATGTACAGTTTAAAAGTTGTGAGTTTTAGTTTTACTCAGGGAGCTTACTGAGGATTATTGCCTGAGAAACAGTCTCTCAGTAGCTCTGAAGGGATTGCTCCAAAGAGGGAGAAGAAACCACTATATGTATGTGTATATATATATATATTATATACATATATATTATATGTATATAAACTCTAGGCTAGGGAATGCATGCAGTCATGTATACATCATGAGGAACAGATTTCTCAGTTAATAGTTTTAGTGAGTTTAGGTGTATGGGAAAATGCAGGAATCTGGGTTCATTAAAATTTTCCCTCAAGGGAATTCCCTGGTAGTCCAGTGGTTAATTAGACTTCACTTTCCAATGTAAGAGGTGGGGGTTTGATACCTGGGTAGGGGGTTAAGATCTTGCATGTCTCCTGGCGAAAAAATTAAAACATAAAATAGAAGTAATATTGTAACAAATTCAATAAAGACTTTAAAACTGGTCCACATTAAAAAAAAAATAAAAAACCTTTCACAAAAAATTTTTTTCCAAAGTATCTCTAGCTATCTAAGGGACTGTTTTTCCAGAGCACAGAGTGCCTCATTTTGTTTTTTGTCTTGAATTCCTTTCAGGGCGTACTGGAGGTCAGCAACTGCAGTCCCTAAAGAATTGATCCTTGGAGAACAAGATGGGGAGCAACATTCTTTGTTTTATACCCTCAAAGAGAGCAATTCCTGGCCCCTCTTTTTTCTTCCTATTGTGGTAAAATATATAAATAAAAAATGTGCTGTTTTAATCTTTTTTGAGTGTTTAATTCTGTGACCTTAATTATAATACATTTACAGTGCTGTCCTCTGTTTCATCACCCAAATTGAAGCTCGGTGCCCATTAAAGCAAAAACTCCCTGTTTTTCTCCCCTGAATCCCTGACAACCTTGAATCTACAGATACTCTGTGTCTCTTTGAATTTGCCTGGTCTAGGTATTTCAGATAGGGGAAATCATACCATATTTGCTCTTCCTGTTTGGATAATTTTACTTAGCATAATGTTTTCATGGTTTATCCATGTTGTAGCATATGTCAGAAGTTCATTCTTTATTATGGTTGATTATCATTCCAAATTCAGACTTAAATTGAAGAAAGTAGGGAAAACCACTAGACCATACAGGTATGACCTAAATCAAATCCCTAATGATAATACAGTGGAAGTGAGAAATAGATTTAAGGGACTAGATCTGATAGACAGAGTGCCTGATGAACTATGGAGAGGTTCGTGACATTGTAGAGGAGGCAGGGAGCAAGACCATCCCCAAGAAAAAGAAATGCAAAAAAGCAAAATGGCTGTCTGAGGAGGCCTTACAAATAGCTGTGAAAAGAAGAGAAGTGAAAAGCAAAGGAGAAAAGGAAAGATATTCCCATTTGAATGCAGAGTTCCAAAGAATAGCCAGGAGAGATAAGAAAGC